TTTTGATGATCCACGGTTCAAAACTTGGTGGATAATGGACTCACCCTTTTATTTTTCTTCACTTAAATCCCGGGTTTTTGCGTGTGGCAGGTCCGAACTGGTGACATCACCTAACCCATATATCACATGTTGCACTCTTACCACTAGACCAAAGCTTTGGGGGGTAGGAGATGTATTGTATAAACAGAATGCAAGACACAAGGATTCGTTCGTGTCTTACTATCTAATTTTCAAATGGACTAAAGGGCTCTTTTTTCTAAACTTTTGATGGTTCTTTTTTAAGTCTTTGGTTGATTGAGAAAATCCTGTCTTCTTAGGTTTCTAGTTCTCGTTTAATATGATCTTCTTTACCTGTAAAGTTTTTATGTAAGAAAGTCTATACTTAGGACACGAGTCTCACTAGTTTTATTGCAATTACTATGTGGAATACTACATTACCATGTAGATAAAAGATGTATAAATGCTGATTAATTGGAAATGCCATAACATAGAAAAACTAATGAGCGAGGTTAAAAAAATAGCCTAGGAAACAAATAGTGCAATTGAGTCTATGGCATGTCGGTGTACCTTTTCTTTTGTCATTGTTGAATACAGAGTTAATTGAAGCAATGGCTGTGAGATCTCTACTTTGATCTCAGTCTTTGCTCTGTGAACAAACATATGACTTGATCACCTTCTGTCTCCATTCTCTTGTATATCGTGACATTTATACATGCTTTGAGAAGATTTTTACCCTCCCTCTCTATTACCATGTCCTTCCAGTTCTTGGAAACGGAGATTGATTACAATATGCAGCCAGGATAATAATGTGTTTTCTCAAACAATGTGTGTAATACTCACTCTCAGATGTACTAAGGATATAGACTGAAATATATTTATACTTGCATTTGCCTATTCGTTTAGGTGCAAACGCATCGCCAGAGGTTCAGAAAATGGGTGATAATAGTAGCAGTCAAGTTACCCGTGTTCTTTTTTGTGGGCCTCACTTTCCCGCTTCTCACAATTATACAAGAGAATATTTGCAAGGCTATCCATTTGTCCAGGTATTACTTTCTTGCTTTTACTTATTTCTTCTTTGCATGAGACTTAATTTTGACTCCAATTCAAAGTTATTCAAGCAAATATGATTCTTCAGGCATCCATAGGGGAAAAATAAGGCAGGTTGAATTAAAAACTTGTTGGCACAGTAGGTTCATAAAGCAACAGAGGAATCTTGATGAATGATTGAAAAGCAATTGCATATATTGATGTTTCCATATGGTTTTTCACTTTTTTGGTTTACCTATTATCTTAGATTTCTTTAAAAAATTGATAATGCTATTTGGACAGAGGTAGACGTTTGATGGCGATTTGCAAGATTAAAATTTCTTCTTGACCCTTTATTTTGAGGGTAGTTATTTATACTCTTGTCTGAAGTGAATTTTCTTTTTCAGACTTCACATGGTTATTTAGTGAAGAGTTGAAAATAATGTATCCTTTAGTATTTCTTGTGTGAAATGTGTTCTATCTTTACGTTGTTGGTATAGAAATATGAAGTGAAAAATTAATTGAGAAGAGTAAGTATGAGTTCCATGCATTGTTTTCTGTTATAATGTGCACTAAAAGTTTCTAGCCCCAGGGCTTTGGTTGATAAGAGCATAGCACGTGTTCTGTGGGTTCGGCTTATGTTACGGGTTCGAACCCTGCCGCAGACAAAATCTTGGTATTTAAGTGGAGAAGGGTAGAGGGGCAGATCCATTATCTACCAAGGTTTGAACCGTGCACCACTGGTCCGAGGGAAATTCTCAGTTATCAAAAAAATGTGCACTAAAGGTTTCCTCTTTAGAAAAAGTAGACACTATTTTCATACAACTCAACTGAAGATGCAAACAGTTGATTTGATATAGGTGGAAAAAGTTGACAATGAACAAGGAACTTGAGCCACAACAGGAATTGCTGGTATATGCGACACTAGGTCACAATTCCAGGGAGAAATAAAATTCTCTATGTTTTTCACTTGAAGTGCTTACATAAGACAAATGGGAAAGATAAAGCAGTCAAGAAACACGACTTTTTAGAAGCATGAAGGCGAGGAAAATTACATTTGGAAGACAACTCACCTGTGTAATATTTGGACATTTTGGAGAGAAAGGATAGTAGAACCTTAGAGAAAATTGAAAATTCATTTCAAAGTTGAGTATACCTTTTTATTTCATTTGTATTTCTGAGGTGATAAGCATATACCAGTTTGCATAGATTTTTGGAATGTTTAGTAAACGACTGTACATACACTTATCAAATACAGTAATGGATGTACATATTATTATATAATACATGTATAGTGTGACATATATAAAACTACTTTTCAATTATCAAAGAAAAAGAAAAGAAAAAGGAAACAGAGACACAATTGTTTAGAGGTATCTTTGTTACTTACTGAATATACTAAGAGCTGCTAATTATGATTGTGCACACTTTGTACATGATAAAAATGCTACCTAACTACAAAACTTGCAATCTTTAAAGTTAGTTTTGTTTTTATCTTCTCTTCCATTTAATATTTGATTTGCAGTGTTTGTTCCTTTACTTACAACTAAAAATTACTTATAGAAAAAGCTACAGCTCCTTCTCTTCAATTCTTTGAGTTGAATCTGAGAATACCTCCTTGTAAGGTCTTCTTAAAACGGTCCAACTTACAAGTGATTAAACTAATCTTCAATGATGATTATATGCCTCCTTTGTAGGTTGATGATGTTCCACTTGAAAATGTGCCTGCTGTGATTGGTGACTATGAAATTTGCGTGGTTAAAAGCTTCCGGATGAACTCCGATGTCCTCTCTCGTGCAAAGAGCATGAAACTCATAATGCAATTTGGAGTTGGGCTAGAAGGTCAACTATCTTTTTAGTCTGTCTTTTTGCCTTTTGCCTTTTGTTTTGTTTCGTTCTTTTTATCTTGATATTATTTCTTTGGCAGCTGGTTCATTATAATGAACATATTTTGAGGTTTCCAATGCCTAAATATTTTGCACTGCTGTTGTTATGCAGGTGTTGACATTAATGCTGCTACAGAGCATGGCATTAAAGTCGCCAGAATTCCAGGTGGTGCAACTGGAAATGCTGCTTCATGTGCTGAAATGGCCATATATCTCATTTTGGGCCTCCTGCGTAAGCAAGTTGGTAGATTCTAAGCTTATAAATAAAGGCTTTACTTCTTCTGAACTCTTTGAGGATAAACATGTAGGATAAATTTTATTTTCTTCCTCCATAAAGTTGATACATTGTGAATGTATAATCACCATTTGTAAGAATAATTACTGCAGGTTGGTCGGCAATCTGTTCTTCAGTACTTGTCTGCTTGAAACTTGTTTATATTGCTAATGAAAATGAACTCAATGGGATGGATAAGACAACCTGGAATCTCAATGATATATGAAGTGAATTTAATTGAGTGGTCCAAATAGTGGGTTGTGAGTACTTAATTGTGCTTGCTAAATCATCTCTCTGGTTCTAGAAGTGAAAGTATATACGTATAGCTAATGTATATGAGTACTACGGAGTATCATTTGTTCTCATATAAGCTACTCTGTTTTCCCTTTTCACCTGTATTCCTCAAATGCTGCAGCATCAACTGAAAATTTCTGTGGAGCAGAAAAAGCTAGGGGAGCCAATTGGTGACAACCTGGAAGGGAAAACGGTGAGTTTCACCTTTTGTTTCTCCTATTTATCTGTTATCTGGCATTTGGAGTGCTCTAGATGTGTTTTTGTTCCCATTTTCATCTCACCTCTTATTGTTTTTGTTTTTATACCTTTGCAAGATATAAAAGTGCTCAAAACTTTTGAACTAAATAGAAAGGTACGCTCGATAGAATCAACTAATTTGTATACAGTAGTTACAAATGCTTCATTCAAACATGTTTACTTGACAATTACCTTATTATTAAGGTAAATGGGTATATATATTTATAATAATATGAAGTGGCGATGCTAAAATTAAGTTGCATATATATAATAATGGCTGTGATGATGGTATAAGAGGCCCAGGGTGATCTTAGGATTAAGTACCTATATGGTGTTCAAACTTTTTCTATTTCACATTTTTTTGCATACGGGTATCCTATACAAGTATCTAAAATTTGGTACTTAGAAAGATAATAGTTGTATTAATTAATAAAACTTGAGCCGTTAAATTTAGAAATGTTGCTAACTTCCTCATCAAAAGGGAAAAAAAGAAGAAGGAAAGAGATGTAGCTAACTTTCTTTGTACTATAAACCTATAAAACTTGTATTTCATTTTGCTAGGTATCTTCTTATCGCATAGCACCCTTGTAACACTCCTCCATTTGAACCAATCATATTTGATTCTATGCGTTGCGCCTTCATCTATCATGTCATTTTTCCAGGAAGAGTGAGCCTATATATCTGAATTGTTTGCATTTTAGGTTCCAGAATCTTGCCTACTTATCAAAAGAAAAAAAAAGGTTCCAGAATCCTGCCTAATCTGAACTTCACCTTCATCCTTCTTACAGGGCAAACTCATAGTGCATATTCAAATTTGCTACCATCAAGTGGAAAATTCTATTAGATGGATAAATTGGCCTAATAGTCTCTGTAATATCACAAATGGAGACTTTTATGGCATTGTTGTGTGCTTGAATATATTTCATGACTAGAAACTTGTGCAAGAGTTGCACTTTGACGATGTCTTAGATATTTTCTGCATCATCACATAGGTGTTTATCATGGGGTTTGGCAATATCGGGATACATTTGGCAAAGCGTCTACGTCCATTTGACGTGAAAATACTTGCTACCAAACGGAGTTGGTCCAGGCATGCACGGGACTCAAGCAAATCCGAGGGTAAGAAAATCTTGTGAATTCTATTTATTTCTAAAATGTTGATATTAACTATGCATGCTATCTTTCTAGCACCATCTGTTGAAAATGGTAGCTATGATGACCTGGTTGATGAGAGGGGAAACCATGATGATATCTTGAAGTTTGTAAGCAAAGCTGATATTGTAGTATGTTGTTTAGCTATGAACAAAGAAACTGTAAGACCCCTCTTTTCTTATTGTCTGGCTACGCAATCATGTGCTTTCTGATGATCAATATTTTTTGTCAAGCTTATACTTAAAGATATGCTGGTCACTTGCAGGCTGGCATCGTGANTACCTCAGTTTGGCAGAAAAAATACCGGCATCCCTTTTTCTTTTTCATAGGTCATTTGATTGTGTTCTGGGACATTTATGATTTATCCCATTGTTTCTTGCGCATGCAAGTCAGTGCACTAGCTCTGATTAAATGCTTGATATTAACAGCTATGGTTATGAAACTATATTGATGCAAGCTATAGGAAAATTGTTGGAGCTATTAAGTTAGATAATATTTCAGTCAACAAATGCTACCTTTGTCATTTTCACTAAGTCATATAGGTTCTTAGTATATCATCCAATTATAGAGTGTGCATGCGCATATGTTTGTGCCTCTCAATTTCAAATTGACATTTATACATAGTGTATTAAGAGTTGGTTTAATAGCTGTGCATATTTGTGCATATGTATGTATTGCTAATGCATGGTTACTGCCACGGGCGGCTTTCCAGCCATGCCCCATGACCCCTTGGACGCGCCTCATGGTGTCCTGGCAAGCCTCCCAATGCCTAGCGCCATGGACGGCCCCGTGGTCTTGGCCGCACCAAGTGACAAGCGCGCCTGTGCTTATGTCGCCCCACCAATAGCCCTCGCCAGCACCCAGCGCAGGTAGATGCCAACAACGGTGCGGGCGCAGACTCTAATGCTATAGACAAGGTTGCCGCCAACGGACTTGCTTCTACCTTGTAGGAATCTACGTCCTTTTTATTGTAAATATAGAGTAGTTTTACGCTTTTATTAATACAATCAAGCTTTCTTTCATTGTCATTCTCTTTTCTGTTCTCTCAATTGCTCTTGACATTGGTTTTCCCGTACGGCATTGACAATCTCGTCTAGCGTACGGAGGGGACCCCAGTTGGCGGATAGTAACCGCACGGACATCGGTTGCTTAGCCTTACGTCGTCCTTCCAAGAATTCTCAGGAAGGCATTGCGTAACTGTTGGTACCAGAGCCTAGGCTCGATATCGGACGAGGGAACACATTGCCATTACCACCATTTCTAACTATGAAAAATCATGGGGACCGCATTGCGGCCCTTGAAGAGACGGTTAACGTATTACAAGCTATCTTGAATACGGTGCATGATCTAAGAACTAGCCTAGTGCGAAGGTTGGACGACTTGGACCGCAGGATGCGGCAGGCTGAAGGGGACATTGCAAACATCAGTCGCGACTCTGAAGGAGACCGGCAAACGGCAGCCACATAGGCAGCCAAAATTTTCGAGGGCCTCCAACAGGAGCGGACCGGGGATTTAGCCTATAGGGCGCAAGAGGTAAACAGGGTGACTGCCATGCAGCAAACTATAGACAACTTGACGGGCCAACTCAATGTTGTCAACGTTGCATTACAAGGCTCACTTCGAGGAGGCGGAAACCACATCGAGAGTGTTGTGAACCTCGCCCTTGTGCCACAAAAGTTGAAGATTCCTGAACCAAAACCCTACAATGGGGCTCGGAATGCCAAGGAAATGGAGAACTTCATCATCGACATTGAACAATACTTCGATGCCGTGGGGGGCTAGAAGAAGCAAAAAAGGTAGCAACTGTTGCTATGTATCTTCAGGGTGATGCTAAACTCTAGTGGTGGGTGAAATACGAAGCCATCAGGGCCGGTGAAGATACCCTGGAGACATGGGGAGACTTGAAGGCAGCTATACGCCAAGGCTATCAACTCACAGCCTCAGCCAGTGGTGGAATGGCCAAAGGAGTGCCAGTGAAGCTTGGTCCTTATGAAGGAAAATTCAACTTGCGTGTGGTGATCATAGATGACTTCGAGCTGATAGTTGGATTGGAATTCATGAGGCAAACCAACACCATTTCAGTACCTTATGCAGATATGCTACTGATGATGGGAGCCAAGCCCTGCATTATCCCATGCATAACCATAAAGATGGTCGCGGAGAACATCTCGGCCTTGCAGTTGAAGTTGAACAAGGGAGTCAA